AGCAATCATTGGTCGTTCTTTGTGCTCAGCGCGTGGTGGCAAAAACGAATACTTGTCACTTCGGCATCCCTGGAATTGCCTGAGCCCTCTATAAAACCCTACTACTTCCTCGTCCTGCGTGGATAAGATGCTCTTTAAAGCTAATGTTCTATTAAGTTTTAAGTTTATTTAACCTTGGAAGAGCAAACCCTCTAGATGCGCCATGCATTTCGCACTCATAATCTTTGGTTCTCATTCAGCAAAATGTGGATTCAGTCTATAATTTAGTATTCAGCTGCTAAAATGCGAGATAAAATGACAGTAATTCAGAATTCCATGAAAATCCAGTAAATATATCGATAATGACGCATTGATTATTCATCAGTCTTTGACATCTTCAAAATAATATTTTAAAAATATGGAAAATTAAGAAAAGTTTTATTTTATCAGTGAAAGAGGGTGGTAAAACGATTACAGTGATCTGATATAAACTGATGTTTTATTAGTGATAGCGCAGTGGGAAGTATGGGTTATGCACATGAAGGAATAGCTCCATATCACTTCAGCCATTAAATGAATTCTTAATTGTTATTATTATTCAATACTTACTTACTAACTACTTACTCAATATTATTCATCTATTATTTATTGCTGTTATTATTTATGCTTTTCTTATTTGGCTTGTTCTATACAAGTGGGGTGGGCACGCCCAGCTTTTCACGCATGTCAAGTGACTGCCCTCACCCCCCCCTAGATTGGCTACACTTCCCCCTGGCTCACGAATTCCCCGATTCTCGTGACAGTATAGTAGTGGGCAGCAGTCCCACTTACATACACATTTCTGTTTCTGTTCAAAAAATGCGGCGTGCCCACCCTACTAGTATATTAGCCCAATTGTTGTTTACTGCTTATTGTTTTGTCATTATTTAATGCTAATTATTTATATTCTTTACGAAATTTAAGTTTTGTCTTTGTTGTTATACGAAGTAAGTCGTCGAATCACATAAAGGGGAGATGGGAGGGGTGGAGGAGGGGGAAACAGAGCAAGGGGTTAGTTTAGCTTCTGTCTCCCCCGTGCCTCTGGGCCATATATCCTTACTTATGTTTTTCGTAAGGGAAGGAGGAAAATGGTAGTATTAAGCCGATATAACATTAATCCTTCAGCGTTGATTTACTGATTTGATTTTGGGAATGCGCCACGCGTTTCTACTCTCATTCTCAATCGTGAGTGGCAGTGAGGATGCTATTTTGCTTACAATGACTAAGAGGCTGCAGCTCATGTGGTTTATGCCCCCCAGTGCAAAAGTGGGGCAATTTTGGCCCCTGAAATGATGGCAGGATCGGTTAGTCTGGAGTGAATACATCCTCCAGAATCTGGTCCCTGAACCGTGTGCATGGTAAGCAGCGCCACTTGCCACTAAACCAACTTCGCTCTCAGAAATTAAATAGCATATAAAAGGATTTATCGTACTGAACCACTGCACTAAAAGTATATAGAACGAATTGATGAATTAAGAAACGTAATTCATAATTAGTTGAATAAATAAATGAATGAATAAACAAATAAATAAATAAATAAATAAATTCATATGATCCTTCAGACGGAGAGGTCACGCTGGCTGAATGGTGGGGCGGTTTTGATAATGCCCTGGTCACACATCACTGTTGGAATAATTCCCTCAGGATGCTGGAAGGGAGGGTGATTTTATCTTCTAGCGCACTTCCACTGACGGGCCAATGACGGGGCATCAAAACCGCACCGACCCCAGCGTCAGTGTCACTTTTCGGAGAAATCGTGTTTGAAATGGAGAACAAGGTTCATAATTGTTAGAAATTGCATCAAAAGCATCAAAAACCGCGCATGATATAAGCTTTTTATGAAGCTGTCGTTACGTGTGATGCTTGTCTGCAATTACTCTGTGCAAGGGCCATGTGAAACAAAGTGTGAAGCCCTAAGTTCATGTCCATTCACTCATCACAGCAATTGCGGAGGATGTAGGAATGCATGGCGTATGCCAACTTGAAAGATCGATATCTCAGGAATTTCATGCTATCTGCCTCGTTTTTCTTGAAGTTGCTCATAATGGTTTCGATTCACAGAGTGGTAATGACAAAGTTCTTTTACTACTTTGCATATGGTAGTAATCTTCTCAAGGAACGAATACGGGTACAGGTTAGTAGTTTTTCCAAGTGAATCGAAACCTATTCGTTAAAACGATGGCTGGGTTGTGAGAATCAGAATGGCCAAAAAGCGAATGTTTTTGGGTTTGTGCACTCTGAAACCAGAAAAGGGGTCTCGAAACACTCTCAAGCCCTAGGCTAACTTCTATCCTAGCACTTTGATCTCGGGTTGGGTCTCGTTTATTGCATATTTGCTGGGCAATCACCTGAAGGTGTACTTAGGGGTATCGAAGCAGACTGCCTTGTACCCTTTTCCCTTCCTAGGAAGTTTTCTGCTGCAGAAAGAGCGGCGCTAGGGCAAGATGGGCGGTGTGCTCTAGGACTATTGTGAGGCTAGGAGGTTGCGGAACTTCAGGAAAATGAAAACTGCTCACACACCCGGATTCTCTCCTCCCCCACCTTGGGCTAGGTCCCGTTTTCAACGAAAAGGGTATTAAAATATTAGATGGATTCGAATTCACATTTTGCCACAAACAGTGCCCTGAGTCTTGCGATAGGCGCCGCGAACTACCTTTCAGATCAAGCGTGCTGATATGAGTGCAACGGAGTTGCTGAAGATACTCAAGTTGAATTGTGTGGCAGTTTCGTTGGTTTCACGAGGTGGGGCACGGCCCGGCATTTGCAACGATCACAGAGAAACTTGCGAGCAGAGGTGGTGCTCATACATTTTGATACAGTCTTAGCCGAATAGGTACGTGTCTCGAAGCTTGCAGCGGCATCAGTTGGTTTACTAGCAAAGCAGTCAAAGCTGCCTATTGCCTGTGAGTGCCGACAGTAGCGTAGCAGGGATACAGACCGAGAGGTCGGCCTGGGGGCCAACTCTCACTTAGGCCGATGTCAGACTTTGCGAATCGCGCGATTCGCTAGCGTCCGCGGTCGCGTTGCGGTACCAGCCAATTGAGTGATTCACTGGCCGCGACGCGACCGCAGACGCTAGCGAATCGCGCGATTCGCAAAGTCTGACATCGGCCTTGCTGTTCAACGTTTACCTAAAAGCAGCAAAAATCGGCTGCAACGCCAAGTGGGCGGGGCGACACTTCGCTGACCTCAAAAATTTTTATGAGAAGTCGACGCTAGTTCGCCGAGTGTAGATGCAGCCTTACAGCCTCACTGGGCGGAGCTTGCCTGCGATTGGTGGACTCTCCCTGTCACCAATCACAGCCGTTACACGCATTGCGACACATAGCTATTCAATGATCATCTAACCAAATACTTCTGAAAAATTGCTATAGAATCATCCCCACAACAAAAGGATTTTTTCAGGTTCACGGTTGTGTCTGGCGGGTTCCTGATGAATTCGCAGGAGAATTGGACTTACAGGAATCCGGATATCATCGACTAAATGGTAAGCTTGAATTAGCGAGAACGATCTCAATTTGCATTCACGCTCAGTGGAATTGCAGCCGATCGCCCTTGGGAAACATAAATATCGATTGCAAATGAACATGGCTCCGCCCACTTGGCGTGCACCGCACACCCGTTGCTAAGACGTGGCAGCTTCTATCAATCAATACTATGTAATTTATCGTTGGTTTCCGTACCTTACACGTGTGCACAAGAATAACGACAATCGTTGCAAGTCTGAACAAGTAGATATCGTTGCCAAGACGAATGGTTGATAGCGGTGCAGCCAACGCTGGCTACGATTTCGCCTAGTGTAAACGACAACGGGGTATAACCATTTTGTTTTCAGTACCTATACAATGTGCTGATGCCATAATAGAGTGCCGGACGTATCAGTATTCGAATATTAATGCTTCCCCAGCACCGCCGTCACCTCACTACAAAACTGTGATAGTAGCCGGAGCTATCGAACACTCTTTACCGGAATCCTACGTGAAAGGTAGGGTAATGAGAATAAAATGGAAATAGGGCAAAAATATCTCTAATTTCAGGTCTGAAAGAGATCCCTGACAACGGGTACAAAGGACGGGTCGCTGTCGATATTGACGTAATCAAGCATTTGAACCAATAACGATCAATTTCTACCTTTATCATTTCCAAGGGTGTGGTTAGCTCTGAATAAATGTGGAGAATCATTATTTCATTAGTATTCGAGGGTTCATCTGGATAGGAACAGGGAGGAACAACAGCGTGACAGTTCGTGTAGACTGGTCTAATCACAAGTTTTTCAATGAGTTTCTTAAACACGAGCTGCTAATGGCTTTCCAGAAAACGAGAAGAGCGTCGAGTGCAGACCACACACACCACAAATGACGACGGCCAATAGGAGTGGTTTCTTCTTCTCTTTTTCTTGGCCGTCGTGACTTGTGGTGTGTGATATGCCCTCAACGCTCTTCTCGTTTACCGAAATAGAGGTTACACCACTGCTTTGCGTTTTTTGTATTTTTGTGTACGGCATATGCACGGCGTCAAACGGTATGAGCACGCTGTTGCACGAATAACGAATCGCTAGATCCGAGCGCTTGCGCCAGCGAATCGAGCGTTGCGCCAGCGAAACCAAGGCGTTGCGAGACCCGCGCAACGCAAGCGAGCGACCCCCACCGTTCAAAGGAAAGCCACCACTTTCAAACAGTGTGGTCGCACCACTGTCTCAAGTCCCGCCTTTTCAAAAAGGGTCCACTGTCACGTGACACTGTTTGAAAGTAGCGGGCTTCCTTTGAACGTTGGGTCCCGCCACTATTGAGTCGCTGGTACATCGTTCGACTCGCTGGTGCATCGTTCGATTCGCTGGTGCAACGTTCGATTCGCTGGCGCAACGCTTCGGATCCAGCGCTTCGCAAACTAGATCGTCGGCTTAGCAGGGTAGTGTCCACGCTGTTGAGGGCGGTAGTTCGCGGTAGTGCACGGGGTGCCACCGTGTGTGGCAGGGTGTGCACGCGTTTTCATCGGTTGGCAGGACTGTGTCAACGTTGGTTATATGGTGTTGCGAGCAATGCTGTGATCACGCGTATACGAAGTTATTACGAAAACTGAATATGCTATCTAAGTTAACTGTAAACTTTCAGTATAGAAAGTTACATGACGCGGAGATGAAACATTTGCAGAGGACTTTCTCCATCAGGTCGTTTTCGATTTCGATACATTTTCTGATTGAAACATCGCTGTAACCCAGTACAGCCCCGTACGACCACTCTGTCAACTGCAACGAAGATGATTCATGAGAAGGAACGGTAAATCATACATATGGAAAGAGATAAAATGTGATCCGACTGCCAGGAATGGAACATCTCCCAAAGTCTAAAATCCGAAAGCACCACCACCTCATCCTCCTTTACTGGTAAAAGTGTCATAGCTTCCCGGATCAGCTCGTTTGCGCAGGGTAAGCACACACCTCAGCAACCTCCTGGCAATAATAGTGGCAGTCCTTAATGATACACACACCCTTCGCCTACGGCGCGCCATGCGTGTTGCGCGGCGTCTATGTTGTTCAGAAAGGCGCGCGAGCAGCAAAACGAACGGCATCTGCTGTGGAAAGAACACAAGATTATAAGTTAAGGAACATAGGATGTATACCGTAACCCACGTTTGCGTCAGAGCGCGGTTGCAGGCTTTCCAGTGCACAATGCAAGCACTAGTGTGAGCGGTCAACGACGCCGCCCCTGCTGTTCGGGGCAGCGAACACAAAAATGGAGCGACGTCGCAGCGTTCGCCTCACCGCTTGCGCGACGAAGCCGAACACCGTCGCAGCATTGGCCTCGCCGCTTGCGCGACGAAGCCGAACACCGCCGCGCGGCCCGCTCGCCCCCGCAGCGATGGGGGCCGCAGCCCCGCAAAACGAAGTCGAGGCGCCGTTCGGCGTCCCGTGCCGGCGTCTGGCGCGACGAAGGCCAACGCACCGGTCCGCGCGGCTGGCGAGCTTGGACGCTCCGCGCGCGAGCACAGGGAGGTGATCCCCGGGGTGCCGCCCCATCCGACGTGTGGCGACAACCGCTCGCGTTGTGTCCTCCACCTTCTACATAAACGGCGCATAGTACTCTGCGCGGGCCTGCTCGACGCATTCTCTCTTCGTTGAGAGGGTGCAGAGAAGACGAGAAAATCGATGACACGTGAGAATGCGCGCCCCAGTGCAACGTCGAGAAGGTTACGGTATACACCCTATGTTCCTGAACTTATAATCTTGTGGAAATGACAACGTCAAGTTCAAAGGCATGAGTCGGGATCGAATTGATGCGTTATTTTGTCCTAGCATTAGACAAGGAATGCAACTAGAAACATTAGTGAGGAAAAAAGCAAAAAGCGTCATGGAAAACGTCAAATATCCCTTGGGAGGCTGGCCGTGTGAGCGCACGGAGAGTGAGACACGCACTGCGAGGCAGAGGAACGCGAGGTGCGTACCGTACGCGAGAGGACGCAGAGAACCACATCTGGCCGTAGCCTCCAATTTTGAGTGAGCCTGCCTGCCCCTTTTTTCACTGCTGGGAAGGGACCCTGCTCATAGGACCTATTCCCGGCTCGTGGCTTTAGGCCGTGGGGAATAGGCGTCGAGAAATTAGTTCTGTCTAGAGTTGGAAGGATGGGTCCTAGAGCGCAAAAAGCGCAACACTGACGCTACTCAAAATTAAGAAGCAACGTCGCTTAGACATTGCTTTGTGTGCTGTCGTGCTGTCATCCTCATCAGTCGCCGCATGCGTGGCCTCTCGCATAGCAGCAGCTAGAAGGGTAGTTGAACGGATTCGAAGTGGAGGGGGTTGGATAGGTCGAGGGGATTGCATAACGTTCAACTACCCTTTCTAGCGGCTTTCCAAAGGTGAGTTTTTTGTTCAGTCACACTTCCATCTCTTGACTAGGCCTAGCGCATTGTTCCACACCATTAGTGTCGAAGGTAAAAACCCTGCTGGGACTGTTGCTTCGAAAGGGTATGGGTGCCTGTATCGTAATCCGGCCCTATTTTCGCTGCGGAAATACGGAGCAGCACACATAGCGCAACGCGAAGCAGTTCATTCAAATCTGGCGCACAAATTCAAATTGCAATTTGGCGCGACGTCGTGCAGTGACTTCTGGCACACCCTTAAGGGTGAAATAGAATTGCTGATTGTGAGAGACATCGGAATGGGAAACATTATTTCAAAAGACTATTAATTTGTTCAGGAATGGTAGAAAGGTGGGCCTGTATAAAACAGAAATCGTGAAAAGAAGAAGATGATAATGATCTTACCTTCCTACTCAACATCGTCGACCATTGGCTCATCAGCTGTTTTCTTTACTTCTGTAAATAAAAAAGAAATGTGGGCATACTTCAATCCTTCTTGAATCTTGTGCATTCCTGCAAGACTTTGATGCGAAATAATCATGTCTCTGGATGGCGCCCAAAAAAAGTTACGCGGAGCAATAAAAAAAGAGATCTCAAACGGCTGAAGTATCGTGGTCCTATCCAGTTCTAGCAGACCACAAAAGAGTCCTGAAATCTATTAGCTAGTCAAGCCGTGAGCTGAGAAAAGTCCATCACAAGCCGCGGTCATGTTTGCAGATGCTTCGTTTGCAGTTCGATTCAGAAGAAATACATATCAATAACGCAACTGCGATCGCACGATCGATACTTATCCACACCACACTAGCACTGCAAGAGTGTGATCGCAGCCTTAAAGCAACAACCTCAGATGAGGTTGTGTCGAGGAATCTATTCTGTAGATGAGATAGAGTAGCCCACGAGTATCACAGATGTGCTGTTGTCGCGGTTTTACGCACGCTGGGCCTTACAAAGTGATCTGATGGCGACTAATGTGAACTTACGGACGAGATACCTCGTGCACACCCCATAGCACGCAACGTGGATTATGGCATAACGACTAATTCAGAACGCGCGAGAGAGGAGGAGCATGAAGCACACGAGTTCAGAAAACTCTCCGGCCCTTCCTTCAAAAAGGAACAGAGGGAATACTTGTAAAAGTTCCATTGGCGGATTGCCTTGCTTTCTTCATTTTCAGTCATTTCGGCTTGCACAATTTCATTATCGACCGCTGCTACTTCTCCAATTTAAGCTGGGGATGTAGTTTTAAATCGCGCGACCGTGCGCGCTGGTGTGTCCGCAACCTCAACCACTATAACCTTATGAAATGGTAATGAAGCATGTAAAGAGTGCTTAACTGCCACGCCCCGTGATAAATGATAGTTACAGACGCGGTTACCGCAGAAGAATACGCAACCACACTTCGAATGTTCCACAATTTATTGGCGCACGGCGCAATAACCTTAAACTTGGGTAATTAAACGATAATACACAGTTAATGAAATGAAAATTCATCCAAGGGACTGGAAGAAAGACCAATGAAAATAATCTCTGATAAAGGTCGACCAGAAAAACTGAGAGAGCAAGGCACAGAAGGTGATGAAAGTGAGAATTCCGAGAAGATTTGAGAATCAAACACGCAAAACCTATACTACGTCCAGGGGCATGTGGACAAATGGGGCAGACGAGGCGCAAATCCGTCGTGTCTTCAGCCTTGGACTGGGGCCTCTCGTGAGGCGTAGCGCGGGGGTTCAGTGGAATCTCTTTTCCCTACCGTATCTATGTATATTGTTTCATGTTGTAGGAAGATATATGGTGGCGATAAGCTTGCAATTGCTTTAGCCATTTTAGCATCTTTCATCTCTTAGCGCATTCCATGTTCTCCATCTATCTTATGAATCAGAAAGAATGAAAATTATGGATACTGTAAAATCGCGTAGAAGTCGCGAGAGTAATGAAGCAAATGCATAGCTTTGTAAGCAGCATCATCCCTGAGAAGAAACAACTCACCCTCAGTAGGAGTCTTTTTCTGGAAATGATCCGCTGCTTGTCCCAGAAGTGCGCCAACTGAAAGATCTCCTACTTGATTAATCGCAAAGAACCTTTCTTATGGGAACATTTCTAACGTACCGAGAGATCCAATTCCTGTAGTCAGTGCGGCAATGTCCTCTTGGCTCAACTGCTGTGAACCTCTCTTAGCTGTGGTGTTACTGGTGGGTTCTGAACGGAAAAAATGAGAACATAATATCTCCACTGATTTTGGGTATGATTGTTCTAGAACATCTCACTGAAGATTTATAAAATCGCTAAAACCAACTAGAGATTCGGGATAGTTTGCGGAGCCTAACTCATAATGATGATATCAAAACATGTCAGTTGGCGCCGCACGCTATTGCGCGCACAACACAGTTCTGCGGCGACATGGAATGGTGCGGTGTGAACTCTCAAATTTGGCCCGATTCACGACGAATATTTGACTACTGTACTAGATTCTATCCGCTTGTCGCATTCACCGATGGCTTTTGACCATCGTGTCCGCTTTTTCCTGGTCTGAGGGCTGGCTTCATAAATCTCGTGGTGAGCTCCACCTGTTTCAGTGCATGCCCCTCCCACCTTTTTTCTTCCTCACCAGTCCCTCCCCACTTTTCCCCGGTTTCTAAAGTGTCACTAAGCCAATTTTTATGTTTGGTGGCAAACTTCCCTGGAGGGCATACCCCGCCTACCAATAGAAACTGACTTCCTTCCCTTCGCTAACCTCGATCCACTTCTTTACTGGTCTTCTTGACTTCTTGGAACCGAGATTCGAAGTTTCGTGGCAAAAAGCGCCCACTAAGGAGCACGCCCCGCCCACTAATGAAGTTTGACTTCCTTCCCTTCGTTAACTTTTGTCCACTTTTTCCCAGTCTCTGGAACTTCCTAGAAAGGAGTTATAGGCTTGGAAAACGGTGCTTATGATGTATCACAACAAACTCCGCCCACCTTGAAACATGGCCCACCCATCAAGGGCACTCGACAGCAGCTCGGCACTTTGCCAACTTCTACACACTTCTTTCCCGGTCTCACCTCTTCCTAGGGCCGAGTTATAGTATTTAGTAGATAACCCCGCCCACATCAGCGCAAGCGCCACCCACCTAGGGTGTTCATTCCCCTTCCGTAGTCGAACTCCATAGCCTTTTCCTCGGTCTCCGGGACTTCTTGCAACCGAGTTATAAGTTTGGTACAATTTCGCGCTGAAACGTGATGCTCGTCCTCCTCTTCTACGTTTCATTTCTGAGCGCCACATCTCAGAGATGTGTCGTCTATGGGAGGGGCGAGGCCGGGGGCGGGGCGGAGGCGGCACGGGAGGGGGGGCGGGGCGGGCGGGCGGCGCCCCCCACACGCATACTGGGCGCGCACAACGGCAAGGCGCAGCGCTGAGACGCTTATTGCCAACCCCGGAGAGCCGCGGGTACGACCTCCCCTTGATTGCAGCAACCAACCATACACACTGACCTGAAAAGGCGCCGTCAATCGCTTCGCGCATTGTGGCGTGCCCTGCGGTAGGAACATCGTAAATTTACGCCCAGTTTGCAGGTCGCTCACGATAAATCAAACGAGCTTACCCGCCTCTTGCGATGGTGGTCCCCCATACTACGACATACGCGCCATGCAGCTGGTACCCTGTTCCATTCTGATGCTGGCTCGATCAACTTTGGCCCAACCATCAACTTAGCGACGTTATAGTAGTCGCGTTCTAAGAAATCATGACTCCTAAAATGGACTTCTCATCTAACAATTTCGACCCTAATCATCTTCGTAATAAATATGGTATTCACGATGCTTTCAAAGAGTCTACGTAACGGTTTTTGACACTCCAACTTTTGATGCTCATTTTTTTTTGAAAATCTGCAGATCGAATAGCAGATAACTATCATAACTCCTCTCATCCTGCTCTACCTTCTTCAACGCTTGGCTAAACTTTGTTCTAAAACATTTCCTCACAACCTTTTCGAAGCATTGAATGCGATATACTCGATGAATGAAGTATACATAATTTTCCTTTTATATCTTTGAATAGACCAGAATGTAGTCCGGAGCAGGTCAAGATACTTAACGATGCACTTGCCTTAGATTCGCACGGAATATTTTTGAAGCAGCTGTCCAAAAAGTTGCTGTAACGATAACGAGCGCCTTGATCAGATCTAAGATCAGAGAGGTGGTCGGATATCGGCGTTGCTACTGCATAGCCAAAGGGATAATTTATTTTAACCTGATATCATACAAAAAATTCTATCGTTCCCATTTATCTGATTAGACAGGCTCAAGTCGACGCAGACCCATTCGCAAAAAGGCTCTGCGCAACCTGGATTTATATGGCCTGTAGAGTTATGTAAATGCGGAAGCAGCTGGAAAGTCCCAAAAAATTTTGACAGGGGCGGGCCGCGACGAAATCACCGATTTGAAGGGTTGTGTTACGAATCGGGGTTGCTCAGGGTGCAGGATAGCTGCGAGGGAAGGACTTTTCGTAGCGCGCCGATGAACTAGTGGTCTAAAACAGGGTCAACCGTCCGTTGGACAAAGACAAAGTCCAACGAGAGGGGTCGTATTGGGGGGGGGGGGAGAGAGGGGGTCGTATTTTGCGAGGCGGCGTTAATTTTACAGTAAGGGAAGGGATGATTTGTCATGAAACGGAGGACGGATCAGTTTTGTGGGCGAGTTGGCTGTGGTAAGGCTGTGCGCTAAAATTTGCCGTTCGCCACTTGATTTCCTACGCTCGACAGGCAACTATTTGGAGAAGAATAGTGGCGAACGTTGGGCTGTGCGGACGGGTCTCCAGATACCACCATATCCCCTATACGAAGGGCAGCCCCCATGACTAGCGACCAAGCAGGGCGAAGGTGGAGGAGGGTTGCACGGGCAAGGGTCAACCGTCACGTTCGAACATTTTCGGGATTTTTGCGACCCCCCCCCTCTCGAGAGGGTCCAGTTGCGACCCCTCCCAACACACAGTTGCGACCCCCCAATACAACCAGCCTTCCTCCGCGACCTCTCCCTCTTCTTATAATATATAAAACTTTATAATGTATTTGTCCTGAGATCAGTTTGACCAGCCCAAAACCTACCTAAAACTCCGAAACTCCACCCACTTTTCCCCAAAACAACCGTCGAGCGGGGGGGGTATATACAACCAGTGAAACGGCAACTTTTTTCGCACGCACCTATGCCCTGCGCCCCTGATCACCAAAGCGCGCAATGCGACCAATGCGACCCCTCTCCCCTCCCAGAACACAAATGCGACCCCCCGTTCGAACAGTTCGAACGGACGGTTGACCCTGGATCATGAGCTGGGTCACCACGCGTATGCACAAAAAAACACCGAGGGTCGTATTCGGCCCCAACCAAACGGAGGGGCGTCGATCATCCAGAAAGACGGCGCTGCAACCTGTGGCTCTTCTGAAGTCAGCTACTTCTCGGCAGTGCACTAACTCCTTTCACCGATCTACATCGCCGAATGTCTGCCACAGTGCAGAATCTGACTACGGAGGAGTCCACACAAGATAAGAGACTCCATGGAGGCATTTACAATGCACACGAGCGTCATCAAGTCTCACTATCTGGTGTTTTAGGAGTGTCGGGCCACTCTGGTCGATGGCACAGTGTGACTGCGGTTTCCCGCTCGATCACAGTGGTAGAGTCGTAAGGCCGAAGTCATAGTTTGCGAATCGAGCGATTCGCTAGCGAATCGCTGGATCCGAGCGTTGCGCCAGCGAATCGAACGTTGCACCAGCGAATCGAACTTTGCGCCAGCGAGTCGAACGATGTACCAGCGAGTCGAACTAGGTACCAGCGACTCAATAGTGGCGGGACCCAACGTTCAAAGGAAGCCCGCCACTTTCAAACAGTGTCCACTGTCAAGTCCCGCCACTTTCAAACAGGGTCCACTGTCACGTGACACTGTTTGAAAGTGCCGGGCCCCCTTTGAACGCTGGGTCCCACCACTATGAGTCGCTGGTTAGTTCGACTCGCTGGTGCATCGGTCGATTCGCTGGTGCAACGTTCGATTCACTGGCGCAACGCTCGCATCGAGCGATTCGCTCGGTTCGCAAACTATGACGTCGGCCTTAGAGAGGGGTCATGGCGGTGTCCCCAAGAGGTCCGTTGCGCGAGACGCAAGATGCGACGCACACGAGTCGCAGACGAGCCGTGCCGTGCGATATGAGACGTAGTATGGTACATTCTATTTTACCTGACGCCTGACCGCTACAGTATGCGCTGCAACTCGTCCTTTGCCGCGCTATGGGCCTCTTCGGAGAAGGGATTTTCTTGTATATGCTGAAGCTTTGCTGTCGTTTTGCAAAGCTGAAACTCCACTAAAAGAGGGTTATGACAATTTTCATAAGGTCAGCAACTGGCCATGTTCTTCCGTATCAGGTGGAAGTGTTACAGTGAAAAGCAATCTTAACATAACGTCAGAATTCACCAAGAACGCCAAGACATGGATTCAGCATTCCTCATTCAAAGGGGGCGGACACATCCCTGAAAGGTCCTCGCCGCACTTCGCCAACCCTGCACAAGTTGGACCAGTTGGTCTACGGAGTAATGTTGCGGACGTCCTACTCAGCAGTCAGCAGGCTTTTCTCGGTTTATTCCAATGTTCACTTTTTCCCGATGACCTCAATAGCTCTCTTAAAGAGAAATGCTTCAAAACCCAACATGATGATGGAACAACGCTAACTCAGTTCATCGCCCCCAGAGCTCCAGAATTCTGATCAAATGTGCGCAAAAGAATTGGTTCTTATAGCGGAAGCTTCGCGCATTCGAACGGTTTTGAAATCAACTTGAAAGCTTTGGTTTAAGCTGAGATCATTTTTGTATTTGGAAGTTTATAGTCGAGAACTGAGCCGAACTTTTTGAAAGACCTAATAGTACTTCGAAGGGATCACAAAAAATACCTGGAGGTTCTTCATTTAGTGCCTGTTCTGCTGAAATCATTTATTCAGGCAGACCAAAAATAGATGAATTCTATATCCAGGATTTTTGAAAAGCATACCTTGGGCGTCGGCTTTCTCCATCAAGGACAAAGGCTTTGGCCCGGTGTGTGAATTTACCTTTATCACTGAAAAGTTTGGATTAAACTTAAGCATAGGCAGATAATTTCGTGCCATGATGGCCTTCACTTGTTTCTGTGCACTACTTCCTCGCCGACTTTTCTTCCGACACCATATCCCACTGAAATATTCATTTGATAACATTTGCAGCCCGCTTGCATCGCTGGGTATTCACATCCGGTTTTAAGCCCTTCCTCAACCTTTTTTTTCATCACTTATGTGATTATAAGAACTCCATTAGTGCCCTGGATCCACTAAACACATGGCTACTCTCCATCTTTAATTCAATAAACTTTTGCAGCTTCAACTTGCACAACCAGTGCCTCAGTTTGACGTCACAAGGTGTTAAATTAAATAATTACTCCTTATGATACTGATAGCTACATTCATCTTTTGATGAGAGTCCAAGCAAAAAAAAACTACCAAACAGCAAAAAAAAACGAGGAAAAGCAAAACAAAAAAGGACAAAAGCAATATCGCAATGGGGAGGTTGCAGTTGAGTTTGTGTGGGTCCTGTGGCGAACCACCCAAATGTTGCAGCAAGATATATGGGTCCCGTAGCGAAATATCACAAAATGTTCCGAAGGTGACATTTCTACATCGCCTGGTATGCACGCAGGTAATGCTTGCTTTCCATACTTCCGCGACGGTGCGTTCGTGGCGGGTCGGCCCGACGGCGCCGACCGCACCGACAGTGCGATGAGCGCCCATGCGCGCTCTTGCGCATGACGCGTACGTTGGGCGCAGATCGCGCGCTACGATCGATAATCCTGGTTTTGATGATTAATTGAAGTGATTAATTAATTATCAAAATTTTGGTGATTAATTTAATTAAATTAATTAAAATAATTAATTAAATTCAAAATTAATTAAATAATTAATTAAAGATTAATTAAGTATGAACAGAAAACACACTAATAAAAGGAAGACTGCGCAAAAAATATCGAAAAAGACAAGAAGTACACCAAAACCAAGATTATCGATCGGAGCGCGCCATCTGCGCCCAACGTACGCGTCATGCGCCAGAGCGCGTATTGACGCTCTTCGCACTGTCGGTGCGGTCGGCGCCGTCGGCACCGACTGCACCGACCGCACCGGCGCGAAGTATGAAAGCAGCCTAATGCAGCTATGTCACATCTGTGACATGAGCCGAAATCAGTGCGAGCGTCAATGTGGTTAACACATAATGGACTGCGTGCACCACATGGTGATGCACAGTTGTGCACGCAGCGCAGTTGTGCGCACATTTCCACGCCCTTTCATTACTTCACCAATATTTCCATTACTGGTGATGAATGTATTGGTTTTTAATCCATAGTGCAATACCGGATAGCTTTAGAATCGAAAAAATGAAGCAGGGGTCAATCGTTCAGCATTACATTTTTCATTGTTCGCTAAACGTTATCCCATCCACCGAGAAAATGCAGTGCTTAAAAGCTTCCCAATTTATGACTCGCCTTCCACGATCATCACCCTCACCATTTGTGGTACTTGATTCCCATATCAGTCAACATAGCCCAAGCCGTCTTCCAAACGGCCGTCGAGCGATTGGGGAGGGGATAAATTGGTAAAGCAGCGAAATCCACCAACTTTGCCTAAACCTCACCAATTTCGTAAAACTTTCACTAAATCTGTCAAGAAACCCGCTTCTAAATACAATCCCCTTGAACGACCGCCGTCAACCTCCAATCTCACTATGATAACCTTGCTCAACCCAAAAACACGACCCCCTTGCCAGAATCGCAAATGCGACCTCCTCGCTCGAATAATGCGAACGGACGGTTGGCCATGCCACCCAACCAAACCGTTCAATGAAAACAGCAATGTTCCTGATCATTGATTGATTGCTGACAAAGTTCGATTCCCTCTGTGCTTGGGTGTAACGGGTAACTCCTACATTTATTTTTCACAGAGCATGATCCCAACGAGCGTTCACCAGTGAACAGCCTTGTTTCAACCCACTCTCAGGTCATCGCATCCCCTACCATCAAGTTCATCTTTCAACTCACCAAATGATCCCACACCGGATGCAATCTTGGCGATGTCCTCTTGGGTGAGTTGGAATCCATCGTGCTGTGTCGTATTATCTGAAATTACAGTAAGTTTTATTTATGTAGACCTGTACCTTATTCTATTGATGCTACTGGGTTGTCCCATAATTTCTGTCCAAGTTCCAGCACTTTTTTCTCTCCGAGATTTATCTTTCCTGAAAATCGATTGGCGAACTATATAACCACTGTCATGATCTCTGATATGTTCCCATTGATAAGCGAGTGGATGCAGTTGTCCCGCAATTAGTGGAACTAAGGGTTGCAAAATTCAGAGAGGTCGGTTTTGGGTGGCGGTATTCCTTGACGTTTCACTGCTTAAAGGCAAAGTTCGGGCTCAGACCCACCTAATAAGCCCTTAAAGTGGCTAGAAGTGCATGGGACGCAACTGCAGGCGACTCGCCAAGTTCCCGCATCGAAATGCGTCACTAAGGCGCTAGGGGCCAAGGACTTTGACACGCTCCACCTGTTGCGACACGCTCCGCCCACCGCTCGATATCTTGTCTGCGTCGCAATGCTGATCTGCTATGCTCTCTCTACTCGGACTTCTCTACCGCTCTCCGCGCTCACATTATCTCTCATCTCCCTGCCGGCCTTTTGAACTTCTCCGCAGCGTAGAGCAAAAGGCTCGTATTTCCTGTGTATTTCACGATTTTTTCCTTTTTCTCCACTGGCGGTCCACTCCCACCCCTACTTTCACATTTGAGTAGGAATTACCTCATCAATTTGAGCCCGAATCTTGCCTTTAAGCTGCTGCCTGTGGGCGCTCTGAAGGAGACATCCGATTGAGTAGCGTCAGGACTATACGAGGGATGTGGTACCGTGGCCCAGCCATTTCCCTTAAAACGTGGCGAGTTATCTTTGCAATGTGATTTCGGGCGGTCCTTAGAGAAAGGAGATTTTGAGACGTTTCGAACCGTTCTCCCGCACTGCTGTGGCCAACCTCGGAAGCTTTTCCACAGTCACCTTTGCAATGCTTGTCTGCATACAGTTAAGCGGTTCTCACAACTGGATATTAAACGAATCCAACGAGCCGGCAGTAAAATTCCCTTAGCTTGGGTTTTAGTTGAGATGGTGAGTCTTGGAAGTGAAGCAGCCATAAAGCGAACCATGGGTTGTTGTCGTGGTGAA